GGCTAACACGGTTAAACCCGTTCTCCACTAAAAAATACAAAAAAAACTAGCCGGCGAGGTGGGTGGACAGGCTTGAGCCACCGCGCCCGGCCAAACCAACTTTCTAATTTGTTTTAAAGCTTAGTTATTTAATCCACCAACACTATTTTTGTTCATGGCATGGTGGCAGCTCTTTGCAAAATGCTGTTTCTGTTGGTGCATTTTGAGACCCTCTCCCGCTCCAGCCTTCTGGTCCCTTCCATCTGGAAGTTCTCTGGTCTCCAGCAGGCTTAGTGTCTCTCCCTCTGCCCTTCTTTCCTCTTGCTGTGTCACCAGCGTATCGTTCACCCATCACCAGGGCCGGATACCTAGATCTTACCTGAGACCCCTTCCTCCCAGCTGGGCATCCTGAAGGCTCTTTCTCCTGAGGGTCTTTGGGCTTCCTCCTTTCTCCACCCTTCTTGTGCCCTCCACCTCCCCTTAGTCCAGGCCTCATTTTTTTTTTTTTTTTTTTGAGATGGAGTTTCACTCTTCTTGCCCAGGCTGGAGTGCAGTGTCACCCAGGCTGGAGTGCAGTGGTGTGATCTGGGCTCACTGCAACCTCCGCCTCCCAGCTTCAAGTGATTCTTCTGCCTCAGCCTCCCGAGTAGCTGGGATTCCAGGCATCGCCCCCACGCCCGGCTAATTTTGTATATTTAGTAGCGACCGGGGTTTCACCATGTTGGTCAGGCTGGTCTTGAACTCCTGGCCTCAGGTGATCCACCTGCTTTGGCCTCCCAGTGTGCTGGGATTACAGGCCTCATTATTTCTTTCACTGGTCTCGGCTGCTTGTAACGCATCCTCCAATTATGCAGCCAGAGGGGTCTGAAAACACCCATGCACCATACACCAAAGTCTTATCATGCCAGTTTCCTAATTCAAGGCCTTCTGTAACTCTGGCCCTTAGCATACGCTCTGCCCTCTCACCCTGGCCGATGAGCTGGCCCCACCCAGCCTGGCCAAACTTCTGAGGTCCCAGGTCAGAGAGCTCCGGGAAGCCCCCTGGCGCTCTCTGGCTGTGAAGGGCCCCCCGGGTACCGCAGCTCCGGCACCCCTCTGAATCGTAGCGCCTGGTTCTCAGTGACACTGCGGGCTTCTTGAGGAAAATAATCCAAGTTGCATCTTGTGCACCCCTGACCCCCCAGCACTGGGGCCGGAGCGCGGAGCAGGCGCTCCGCAAACATTCCTCGGGTCCGCGCGGGCAGGAAGGAAGCAAAGAATGAGGCTGGGATTCCTGGTAGCCGGCGACACAGACCGGAGCTCTGATGTCCCCATGGGTTCGGGGAGGGTATGGAGGCCAGAGACGGGGCGGGGGAGGCAAGAGGCCCCGGTTCCCAGCGCTGAGGCTCCGCGCGTCCCGGCCCGGTCCGCAGGGCAGACGGCGCTGAACATCGCCATCGAGCGGCGCCAGGGGGACATCGCGGCCGTGCTCATCGCCGCCGGCGCCGACGTCAACGCCCACGCCAAGGGCGCCTTCTTCAACCCCAAGTACCAGCACGAAGGCTTCTACTTCGGTGGGTGCCGCCCCCGCCTGGCGCGGAGTCTGGGAGGAGGGAGGAGGGAGGAAGGAAAGAGGGAGGAGGGGGAAGGAAGAGGAAAGGACGAAGGAGGAAGGAGGGGAGGAGGGAGAGGGAGGAAGGAAGAGGGAAGCAGGAAGGAAGCGGGAGCGACAGGAGAGGACAGCAGTGAAAGGAGGAGAAGCGGAGGAGTGAGGGGGGAGGAGGGACAGGAAGGAAGGAGGGAGGAAGGGAAAGGCGGAAAGAGAAGGAGGGAGGAAGGAGGAGGAGGGAGAGGGAGGAGGGAGTGGCAGGAAGGAGAGGAGGAAGAAGGAAGGCAGAGGAAGGAGGAAAGGGAGGGAGCGAGGAGAGGAGAGGGACAGAGGGAGAAAAGGAAGAGGGAGCACGGAAGAGGAGAAGGGAGGAGGGGGGAAGGGAGGGACGGAGTGAGAGGGAGGGAGGAGGGAGGGAGGAAGAGGGAAGCAGAAGGAGGAGGAAGGAGGAGGAAGGGAGGAGGGGGGGGGAGAGGAGAAAGAAGGGAGAAGAGGAAAGACTACGGAGGGAGGAAGGGAGGAACAGGCAGGGAGAGGAGGAAGGACTCGGGAAGGGAGAGGGAGAGGAGAGGGAAGAGAAGGAGGGGAAGGGAGGAGGGGTAAGGGAAAAGGGAGAGTGAGAGGGAGGGAGGAGGGAGGAGGAAGAGGGAAGGAGAAGAGAGGAGGGGAGGGAGGAAGGAAGCGGGAGGAGAAGGCGGGAGAGAGAGGAACGGGAAGAAGGGAAAAGAGGGGAGAGGGAGGAAGGGAGAGGAGACAAGGGAGGAGGCAAGGAGGGAGGAGGGAGGAAGGAAGGAAGGAGGGAGAAGGGAGGGGCCACCTCCGCTCTGACCTCTACACTCACTGCCCCTGCCTTAGAGGCTCTGGTGCCCAGAAAGCCAGAGCTGGGAGGAAGGCGGCCGGCTGGGCATGTTCTGGCAGGACCCGCCGGGTGGACCAGAGCAAGGAGGGGCTGGGGGAGTGTCTGGGGGAGGAGTCCATGTTCCGGGCTGTCCCTGGTGGTTTAGAAGCATTGTCCTGGGCACCCTCTGCGCGCACGCGCCTGGGACGGAAGGCTGCAGGCAGGGCAGCCCATTTTACAGGCCAATGGAGCAGTCTCTGCGAAGGGACCAGGACTTGCCCAGGGTAGCCCGGCGCGCATCTGACTTCAGATGTCTAGTCGTCTGCCCTCTGTGCCCGGCCATGCATTCCGACCTGCAGAGAGGTCGTCCGACATGAGGAGGGCAGCGTTCTGCCTGACACGCTACCCGTCGCTGCGCGTCGGGTACGCGCATGCTTCGCGCCGATCCATCAAATGCATATTTCGATATAGTGGACAGTCCCCATTTAGCAGTACAGTTCCGTTTCAATTTTGCCAAATGCGTCCCTCAAGTTGTTTAACCACCACTGCAATCAGGACAGGGAACAAATGCGCTCTGTCCACAACTCGAAAATTTCTCTTGTGCAACTTTGTTGCAGAGGAGACCCCTCTTCCCCAGATCTTGCCTGACTGATGATGCACCCATCTGTTTTACTCTTCTGGGGGGTGTTTTTTTTTTTTTTTTTGAGATGAGAGTCCTCAAATCTTCACTCTGGCTTGCCCAGGCTGCGGAGCCAGTGGCACCATCTTGGCCACTGCAACCTCCGCTTCCTGGTTCAAGTGATTCTCACATGCCTCAGCCCCTGAGTACTGGGATTACCCTTCTGGGTGTTTTTTGATCAGCAGGACTAGATAGTCTGCGCTCTGGGGCAGCCCTGGGTGTCAGGTGCGTAGTGATCCTGGAAAACAGCGGTCTTTCCAGTTCATAGTGTGTCCCCATTGTCCTGCATAGGACCTGGTTGGAGCTGGTGCTTGGGAAGCATTTGTTGGTGGGGTGGGAACGAGGGCGACAGGCAGCTGACGCCTGGTGTCCAGGACTGGTCGTGTCCCACGGCTTGCTGTTACCTCATGTGAGTCTACTTGCCTTATTTGTTCTTAACAAGCATTATTGAGCCCCTTTACTATCTACACTCAGGTACTGTTCTAGGTACTTTGAAATATATCACTGAACAAAACCAGCAAATCCTGCCCTCCATGGAGCCTTCATTCTAGACAGGGAGCAGACCATCGGTAACAAGCATTACTATAATAAGCATTTTCATATAGTATAGATGCCAAATGATAAGTGCCCTCTTAAAACATACAAAGTGGACCGGGTGCGCTGACTCACACCTGTAATCCCCAGCCTTCTGGGAGGCCGAGGGCATGTTAGTC